TGTCCCCACCCCGGCTGCCCCGCCTCTCAAGCTCCGCGGAAGCTGCCCAGGTGACTGTGAGGAGGGCACTGCCATGTCCACGTGGGTGACAAGACCCAGGCCTGGGCTCCCAGCCATGCCCCGCCTTCCCAGGCTGCTTGGTGGCTCCGGCGGGCCACGCTGTGGCCGCCCAGCTGCCTGGGCTCCAATGTCATCACCTAGGCGACAGGACGCTGCCACCGCCACCCGCCTGCAGGAGCCAGGAGCTGAGCCGCTGGCCTCCGGGCCCCCTCGGCAGGGCCCCGCGGACCCTCCTGGGGCCCAGGGCAGGACAAGGTAGGTTGGATTCGGAGGGCTGCCGAGGCCCCCACGGAGGGCCCCTTGTTGCCCCTGCCTGGGGCAGAGCCCGCTCTCTATGGCCTTCCCCTACACACTCCCAGCAGCAAGGGGTCAGCGTGCACTGTGGTCAGCTGTGGTAGAAGGGCAGCAGGTGGCTTGGTCTACCAGAGGGCAAGGGCCACTGCCGGGCAGCCCTTTGGAGAACCACATACCCCAGGTGGGTGGCAGGCTCTGGGCTAGTGGCAGACGTGGCCCTAGCTCCATCTTCTCCCCTGGGGTGCCGGGAGCTCTCCTCTTCCCGCCAAGGAGGCCCCGGAGCCTGTCCAGGCCTGAGCCAGATGGGCACTTCCGGGGGCTTGCCCAGCAGCACTGCTGCTAAGCCTCATGGGCCAGCCCAGAGGGGCAGCTTTCCCAGCTGGCCAGCCCTCCGAAGCCCAGAGCCTCGCCCAGCTCTGCCACACCATGCCCAGCCTCCCTGGCCATCACCCTGGTTTGTTCCAGGCCAGCCCCAGAGCTGGCCAGGTCAGAGGACCCACAGCCTTTACCTGGGCGCACCTGCCTGCTGGGCTGGACGCCATGACCAGGGCCTGGGGAGCTGGTCTCGGTGAAGAAGCCACATGTGAGTGCATGTAGGTATTTGTGAGCCCAAACACGTGTGTAACACTGTACACACATGGCCTGTATGTCATGGATGTGTCCACATGTGTGATCATATGGCTACACACACGCACATGTTGACATGCATGCCAGGTGTACAGATGTGGTTCCTGTGTCTACATTCGCACCTGCGCATGCGTGCTCACTGTGCGTGTCGTATGCATCTGTGTGGAGGTCCTCCTCAGCCCGAGCCTTGGCCTGTGCACACTTAGCTGGCATGAATTGTCATGGGGTGCAAACCAGATCACGCCAGACCTGTCTTGGGTGTGTCAAGGAATCCTTATTAACCAAGCCAAGCTTGGTGATAACAGGACCCACCAGAAATTAACAAATCACAAGTCCATATGGCAATCCAGTCTGAATCGAATCCAGTCAGAACAAATGGTCATGACCCCGAAGTCCACCCGTTAAGCTGAAGACCTATGGACAGCTTCCCCAGCAATGCCATCCTAACAAACAGGCTGGACACACTCAGAAAGCTGCACACTCACCTCTCCCTGGCTTCTCTGCTCACGTTCCCTCACTGCCAGGCCTCCCCTCTCCCGACAGCACACACATCAGAAATACAGACATCTTAGCATTGCCTGCTGCGCTGTCCCGCCCGGGCCGTGCACAGAGGGTGAGGAATACAGACACACGGGGCATGCTCAGGGCTGCCCGTCCTCCTGTCCTCAGCTCTGTCCACCGGAAGCCAGAGAGCAAGCAGGTCCTGGGGAGGCCAAGGGTGAGCGTGGCAGAGCAAGGGAGGCACAGGACAGAGAGAGCGAGAGAGGAAGAGAGAGGGAGAGAGAGCCCTCCCTGTCACGGGCCTTTATGGGGCTTGCGAGGGAGTGGTTACACAACAAGGCTCTGAGGCTCCAGTGGGCGGGAGGGGTCACCTGGGTGGAGGTGACCCACAGGTGGGCAGAGGGGACGGCTGATGGAGGTGACCCCACAGGTGGGCAGAGGGGACAGCTGGGTGGTGGTGACCCACAGATGGGCAGAGGGGACGGCTGGTGGTGGTGACGTGGGCAGAGGGGTCACCTGGGTGGTGGTGACTCACAGGTGGGCAGAGGGGACAGCTGATGGAGGTGGGGAATGACTTCCAAGCATGTGACCCTGAACTGGCTGCCTGCCCCACAGCAGTGTGTGTGACTGTGTGTATGTGCGTGCTATGCCTGTGTGTACACATGTGGGTATGTGTGTGCTTGTAGGTGGGAGAACTTACAGGTACTGCAGGTGGTGAAGGGGTGGGTCCCCAGTAGCCAGCTGCTCCCTGGAGCGTCAGCACTATTCTGCTCCCCCTGCTCTCAGCTGAGGCCCTGCCCCCGGATGGAATGTGGCGTGGAGGGTGAGAGCTGGGCTCCACCTGGGCCGCAGCTGCCTGCGGGGTCACACGGGGTCATGTGTGACCGCGAAGAGGCCCACCTCATCCTCTGAGCAGGGCTGGCATGAGTGCCAGGCAGCTCGCTGTCACCTGCGCCCTGCACACTCTGAGCTCTCAGACCCACGGCCAAGGGCGGGCCCACGGGAGCCCGGTGCAATGGGGCAGAGGATCAGGCCCGCACATCCAGGCCACTGCTTCTCCCGACACCCTGCAGTCTGATCGGGCCCAGCGGTCGGTCATCACCTACGTGGGAGCCAGCACAAGGGAGTCTTCCTGGGGCAGTGAACCAGGAGGGGACAGGCAGGTGCCCGGGACCTGGGAGTGCCAAGGGCTGCCTGACCCAGGAGGGCGGTGGGGGGCTGGGCAGAGGAAGGAGCTGCCGACCTCTGACCCCTCCCCATTTGCTGTGAGGCCACATGGGAGCTTGGCATGCACCACTGCAGCCCTGGGCTCACAGCTGAGTCAAGCCTCAGCCGCAGCCACCTGGGCAAGTCCCGGGGCCTCTGCTCGTCCCCGCGTCGGGCCGAGGTCCACCCTGGCAGGGTTGGGCAGGCCTGGGACCCTGCAGTCCACTCTGCAGGCAGGCAGTCAGACATGTGGAGTGTGCGCTGCCCGCCCCCTTGGGATGCCAGCAGCACCCAGGCCGCCCTGCCATGCGGTGACCACAAAACAGCCGTTTGAGCACCCCCGAAGGTCTCGGGACAGCAGGGTGAGTCAGACCGAGAGGCCTGGGGGGCGGGGTGGGGGAAGGGCTGGCAGGGGAGAGGCGCGAGCTTTCCCGCCCAGGGAGCTTGGGCCCTCACCGGCCTGCCGCCTGATCTGTGGATCACGAAGGTCCCAAGAGCTCCTTAGGGTGCCACAGGTTTGGGGGTCCTGAGAAGGTATGGTTGGGTCCTGATTCTGCTGGGGCAGGGTCAGCAAGGGCTGCTTCCTGGGAGTTGGAGGGAAGGGGGACGGGAAGCCTGGGGCTGTAGCATGAGCCTGCTCTGCTGGGTCCTGGGAGGCCGGGGCAGCTGTGGGAGCCTGCAAGCCATGGCAGGCGGTGCGACTGCTCCCCATTGCTGTACCTGCATCTCCTCGACTCCGAAGTCTGCATCCTGGCTCCTCCTTGGTGGCGTGGAACACGTTTCTGTTCTAGAACTGTGTGCCCAGTCTCGCAGCTCTGTCCTGGCCCATGGCACATGTCTGGGTCGGCCTCAGCTCCCTTTGCTCTGATGTGCGTGGCATTCGCCAGCCAAAGCCTGCCATGGCCACGCTCTGTGAGTGAGCAAATCCCCAGGGGAGAGGAGAGTGTTGGCTTTCATTCTGTGGAAGCCATTTCCGGGCAGGTCATCTTCCCCCTTCAGAGGCTCCTGCTGCATGAGGGCAAGGGACAGGGGACAGGGCTGTGGCCACACCAGGGAGCCCGGGGCCCGGCAGGTCATCCTCCCATCTCGGAAGCTCCTGAGGGACCTGCTACCCAGAGGACAGGGGACAGGGCTGCGGCCACACCAGGGTGTCCTGGGCCGCCCGACACCTGCAGGGATGCCGCCGGCTCAGGTCTGGGGGGAGCCCTGTCTACCTGCCCAGGCAGCTGAGGGTCTGCCTCCCTGGTCCGGGGTCCCCGGCTTCAGAGTCTGCCGATAAGTCAGGAACTGGGAGCTTCGTGGTTCATGATTCGGATGGGTACTGCACGGCTCCAGAGCTTGCTACCCTGGGAGACTGTGGGTGGCAGCCCCCTTCAGTGTGGGCAGAGGGCGTCCCTGCCCTGTGTCTGGGGGTGGGGGTGTCGCTTTCCTGAGGCTGCCCCCTTGGGATCTGGCCCAGAATTATCCTCAATCCCTCCCTTGGCTGCCAGCCTTCGTAAAGATGCCGACTGCCTTGTGTCGTGTGTGTGTGTGTGTGTGTGTGTGTGCCTTGGAGTCTACAAACTGACTGGTACCACACGCCTGAAGTGAACATGAGGCTGGGCCTGGGCTGGGCCTGGGGGCCAGCTTCCTGGGGGTGTGGTTCCTGGGGTAGGCCTGGGGTGGGCCTGGGGGCCAGCCTCCTGGGGGTGTGGTTCCTGGTGGTGGGCCTGGGATGGGCCTGGGACCAGCCTCCTGGGGGTGTGGTTCCTGGCGGTGGGCCTGGGATGGGCCTAAGGGGCCAGCCTCCTGGGGGTGTGGTTCCTGGCGGTGGCAGCAGCTGGTGTGAGGTCACTGTGGATCGCTCAGGGGTCCTGGAACAGGTGGAGTAAGCCAGGCATGGTGGGTGTGAAGGGTGGAGAAGATGGGGTCACACCCCGGAGTGGGATGCCTGCCCTAACCTGGGTTCTCGCTGCCGCTTCCCTGAGAGCCTAGGGGGATAGGCACTGGGCTTCTGGGCCTGTGTGGGGCTTTGCAGTGCTAATCTGCCCCTGGCCGCCACAGGCACCTTAGGGCCACAGAGCTGCCCTCCAAACGGCTCCCCGGGGCCTCCTGCAAGGGTGCGGCTACACCCCACATCCTCCTCAGGCTGGGAGTCTAGGCTGAGCTCCCACACTGGGAATGAGCTGGAAGAAAGGCAGGCGGAGGGAGGGGCTGTGGGGTCCCCGGCCGTGGCCCCAGCGGCACGCCAGCTTGCATGGAGCCGGGATGAGATGCCCAGGAGCTGACAGGCTGTCCCTTCCTGCAGAGTAAACCGCCAGGGCCCTGGGAAGATGGCCCAGAGCACCACCTCCTCCTCACCTGACGAGGGCGCCACCTTCGAGCACCTCTGGAACTCACTGTGAGTAAGCGCCTGCAGGCATAGGCTGCACCCCACCGGGAGGGCACCCCACTCAAGCCCGGACTCTCCTGCTCCCTCACAGCTGACCGGGACCAGAGAGAGGGCCCGGCAGCGCTGACCGGGCCTGACAGGCTCCCGGGCTGCAGCAGTTTTTGAGGGAGGTTATGGTCAGGAAAGGTCCTGGGGAGAGGCCACCTGTGACCATGCCTCCCTGGCATCTGACCAACCCCGGGCCTGGGGGCTCTGGGGACAGCAGCAGGGGGGCAGCCTTGAGCCCCAGGCCTGGGGATTCTGGGGACAGGAGCAGGGGGCAGCCTTGAGCCCTGGGCCTGGGGATTCTGGGGACAGGAGCAGGGGACCGCCTTACCCCGGGCCTGGGGCTCTGGGGGACAGGAGCTGGGGTGGGACCAGCCTCGAACCCCGGGCCTAGGGCTCTGGGGGACAGGAGCTAGGGGGGCAGCCTTACCCTGGACCTGGGGGCTCTGGGGGTGGCACAGGATGAGGGTGCTGATGGAGTCTGTCTTCCCTTCCCGGCCCAGGGAGCCAGATAGCACCTACTTCGACCTTCCCCAGCCAAGCCAAGGTGGCGCTGAGCCCGGGGGCAGTGCTGAGGCTGGCGTGGACGTCTTCCAGCTGCAGGATGTGACCACGCCTACCATGGTGAGTGGGGGCTGTGTGCAGAAGGCAGCCTGCATGCTGCTAGGATGTGGGCACCCCGTCTGAAAGGCAGAGTGAGAGACCGAGAACTTCTGCTGCCGCCTCACTCCCTGCCTCGCTGCAACAGCTGCACGTGGGCCAGGCCAAACCCCAGAGCCGGGGCCCCTTCCCGGTCTCCCGCGAGCAGGGCGGCTGCCCGGTACCTGGGCCCAGGTGCAGTAGCAGGGAGCTGGATGGAAAACAGCTTGATGACCTTTGGCCCTCCCCAGGGGCAAGGAGTCCAAGATGGGTGTCTGGGGGCTCCCTGCGAAAGGGCATGGCGGGCTGGGATTGTCCCAGCAGGTGACAACAGGTGAGTGGGTAGCAAGGGGGCCCCATGAGGGGGCTGCCCCTCACATGCTCACGTGGTCACGCCCTGGGCCAACTCCTCAGGCTGCTCGGGGTGCACAGTCCAGGCCCCGCCCTCCCTACAGGCCCCCATTTCGGAACCTGGAGCCCCCCCCAGGTGCAGCACCCCCTTTCCCCTGCCTGCTTGAGGCCTGCAGCAGGGGGAGGTGACTCAAGGGGCCGCCCACACCTCCCCTCTCTGCGTGTCTATCCAGGATCCCAGGCAGGCCTGGGGCTCGCGGGCCCTCACCAGCCGGGTCAGGGACCCCAGGCTGGGCTTCGAGGGTCCCTCAGCCTGGCCTGGCTGCCTGCTCCCATCTCACAGCTGTGCCACCGGAGCGGTGCTGGGCCAGTCAGGGTCAGAGGGCAGAGCTCCGTCCCTCCTCCCCTGGGACCCTCCAGGTCTCGCTCTGCCATTTGGAGGGACAGCGGCTGGCTGCGGGCTGCAAGGTGGGGAACTCTGAAGATGCCTCTCTGCCCACCCGCAGGAGGGTGCCCGAGACCCTCCAGGAGGGGCCCTGGGGCAGCCCTGGGCTCGTGTGGGGGGGTCATGCTCGACCATCCGGGCCTGGGATGTTCTCGCCTGTTTGGGCACGTCATGCCCGCTGAGGGGGGCGGAGGGCGTGGCTGGTGTCAGGCTGTGGCACGCCAGGCTGCAGCAAAAGTCATGTGGAATTCCTGATGCACACAGTTCAGCTCCCAGTGAACGGGGATTCCCTGGCAGCATGGCTGGTTGGGTCCCCTGGACAGAGTAGCCCTGGCCCCTGGCTGTAGCCTCACAGGAGTTGCCCAGTGGCTGGAGCGGTGCTCTCACCAGGGCTCAGGGGCTGCCTGGGGATGCTGGGTGGGGGGCCCGTGGTGCCATCCTGCCCCTGAAAGCCTTACTGTCCCTGGCCGAGCCTCATCTCTGGGGGGGGGTCACCTTGCATAAGAAGCCCCAGCCGGACATGGCTCAGATCACACAGGGCATTCTGAGTTCCCTGCTGGGGACCAGGGCCTCTCGCCCCGGGCTGGCTCTGGGAGGCTCTGCCCTTGAGCAGGAAGGGGGTGATCCCTCTGCTTTCTGGTTCCGGAGGACCTGGGCCGTGCCCCTGGGACACAGGGTCCTGAGCTCCACCCAGCCTGGGGTACAGCCCCAGTGGCAGCAGGAGCCAGGCAGAGTGGGTGGGCCCGAGTTCCTGCATGTTTTTGAGCTTCCGTGTCGTGGCCCCTGAAGCTGCAGCGGTACAGGTGTGGGGGGGACAGCAGGTGCCCTCAGGGTCCGGGACCCTTCCGGCAGCATCAACTGAGGGCTGGGTCCTGGGGTGGCATCTCCACTGTGGGCGTGGGCAGAGGGTGCCCCCAGGGGCAGCAGCCCCAGCTCTCACCATAGGGCCGCATGGCCACTGCTCAGCTTTGGCCGTCCCCCAGGACTGCTCCCTCTGCAGGGACAACGTGAACAGGCCAGGCAGCTCTTGGTGTGCGGGAGGCAGGTGCGGGAGCCGCAGGCTGGTTCCCCATCTGTGCCCCTTCCCGCCTCTCCTGGCGCCTTTTTCTGATGACAGCTGTCGGCAGGTGGATCGTGCGGGCGGGAGTCGTGGGGAGGAGGAGGGGCTGGAGGCAGCGGGGCTGGCCGATTGGCCTCTGAGCCTCGCAGGGAGAGGAGCAGCTGGACAGCTCAGAGGACAAGTCCTTCTTGGCTTTGGTGTAGAGGACGGTGGCAGGGAGCCGGCCCTGAGAAGGGGGAGGGACCTGAGGGGGCCATGCCTGCTAGAGGAAGACAGGTCGAGGTCAGGACTGCAGAACAGTGCCAGGGGTCCCTAGGCCACCCCGCCTCCATGAGCCTCGAGCCAGCCCCTGCTTCCCTGATGGAAGACTTTGGGGTGCACAGCCTGCACCCCAAGCAACCCCCAGCTCTCAAAGCCTTCGAGCTTATAGGGACTTCCATGGGGGCTACCAGAGCCGCTGCCCAGCAGGCCCAAAGCATCACGAACTTGAACCTGAGGGACTCAGCACAAGTCCCTCTGGCAAGCCTGCGCCCTCGCCGCCCATTGCACGGTGCTGGGCCGGGGCTGCCGTGGCCACCTGCTCTGCTGCGACGGTCTGTGAGAGGGCCAGCAGGAGGCAGATGCAGAGCAGGTGTAGGGCCTGCTGGGGGCTGCTGAGGGTCCGACAGGGCGAGGCTCCGAGGGCCAAATGGAGCAGGGGCCCAGCCCTGGGGGGAGGCCCCACCCCCACGCTACCCTTGGAATGTCCAGCTCAGAGAGTGTCCCAAGGGAGCCGCAGGCCACTCGGCAGGAGCCAACCACCCCGGGCACCCTCCAGCTTGGCTCTGCCCCACACTGCCCAGACCCTCGTGTGTGTGCGGCTCCCAGCTTCCTCCTGACGGGGCGGCCCTGGCTGCTGGCTGTCCTCCAGCTCCCTGCGCTCTGCCATGTCCGTTTGTATGTCCAGCTGGCTGCGAGAGCCGCGAGGTCCCGCTCTGGAAGGCGGGGCCGGGCCATCCCCTTGGGTCAGAGTGGAGCCGTGCAGCCAAGAGGCAGCAGTGGGGGACGGGTCGGGGTCATAGGTGGGTGGGGGTTTGGAGCCGCTCCCTCCACATGGCCCACTTCCGAAGCCCAAGAGGGACCCCAGATTCCACCATGCAAAAGTGCTGCCCATGCTGGGCTTCCTGAGCGTGGCCCCCAGGACCCAGCTGAGGGACAGGCCCTCCCTGGGGCGTGAATGGGGCTTACCAGGGACCTTCCTGCCTATGAGCGTCACCTGCACATGTGCACACACACACACACACACACATACACAGCTGCTGCTTCTACCAGAACATGTGAGCGACCCCACAGCAGACTCCCGTGGGCTTCCCCAGGGACCCCTGCCCCATGGAGCCCAGCACCCAACCTCGGGGAGTCCCTGGATCTGGGTGTCATGGCCAAGCTGGCGGGGCCGGGTCCTTCACTGTTGGTTCTCCGAGCTCCGGAGTCCTGGGAGCTCCTTGCCCCTTGAGCACCCCTGGGCCCTGCTGCTTTGCTCCTCAGGTAGTGTGGCCAGGCATGTCCACCAGTCTCTGGGGGTCACAGGCCAAGCTCCCACTGCCCTGAGCCTTGGGACTCGCCAGAAATGCTTGAAGGGGGTCTGCACGCTGCTGTGCAGCTCCGTCTGCATCCCACGCGGTTCCGGCCCAGGGGCTCGGCAGTGGGGGGAGACACAGGTCCTGATAGCTGGCTTCGTGGGAGACACGTGTGCGTTGGGCTGCTCGACCACTTCTGGGCAGCCTCAGTGTTGCGCCCCAGCTGGGTCAATCAGGATGGGGAATTCAGACACTCCCAGAGGCAGCCGCAGCGGGCGCGCCTTGCGGCCGTGCTGGGCTCCTGCTTTCTGGGGCTTGGCCAGAGCGGGGATGAGGCAGCAGCTGTGGGGGCAGAGCTCAGGCGCTTGGCCTACACCTGCAGCCAGGGCAGCTGGTGCCTGTTCCTGTCCCCTGGCTCCCAGAACACCCTGTTACCTGTGGGTGGTCCCAGAGGACCACTGAGTTACTTGGGTACTGAGTTCCTGTAGGCTGGCTCCACCTGCATCTCCTTGGGCAGCCACACCACATCTTCGCTGTGGGGTGGCCCAGCCATGCCTACCCAGGCCTGTGGGGGGCTAGGGATCCCCACTGTGCACTCAGGTGCAAGTCTGGGGGCCCCAGTGCTTCCCCGGGAGGCAGCTCCGAGAGGCCGGGATGGGGGAACGTCCATTGCGAACCTGGCGGCTGCCTGGGCATCCTTAGCCCTCCCCCCACCGTGGCCTCCTTGGTGCGGCCCGACACGCGCTGGGCAAGCTGAGGCCTGCCCAGGGCTGGCATGAATAGTCATGAGGAACCAAGGGGTGGGCTGTGGTTCTGTTGTTGGATGCAGCCGGTTGACAGAACGCAAGGAGATGGCAAATGCGAGAATGCCAACAAACGGCCCACATGTTTCCGGACATCCCTGGCTCCTGCCTGCCTAGCTGCGGAGCTGTGTCCCCTCAGGCCACGCCGCCCAGCCGCCCTCCCCGGCCACTCAGACCCATGCCTCGGGCTGAGGCTCACGAGCTCCCCGGCGCGTGCAGACCCCCGAGCGCATGCCATGCTGTTCGTCGGTGACCCCATGCGGCACCTTGCCACGGTAGGTGCGATGCGCCTTTCTCAGGCCGCTTGGGGTGACCGCATCTCCATTGTTGCTCGGGCTGGGCTGGGGTCTGCCGTATCGCAGGGGTCGGAGGCAGGAAGTGAGGCGTCAGGGGCTGGAGGCAGACCCAGGCATGGGGGAGAGTGCTCCGGGACACGCCTGCCTCTCTGGGAGTGGCTCTACGGACCTGTGCCCAGGGACTGGGCAGGGATTAGGAACTGGGCCAAGAGGCTAGGCCAGTGTCTGGTCATGGCGGGCGAATGGTACCTCTGCCCCGATTGGTGGCTCCTGGTGACACTTGGTGTGGGCCAGTGGCTCTGCTCTGGCAGGCATGGGGATCTCCCCGCTGCTGGACTCCTCTTTCATGGAAGCCCTCTTCCCTGCTGGGCGTGGTTGTGAAGCTGCCTGGCCCTAGGTCCCTGAGCAGCCTCCTCCAGGGCTTGCTCACCTGATGCCACAGCAGGAGGGGTGTCGGCTGCGGCCACGCTCTGG